CACGTCTGGCTTCTACTTAAGCACTCGGGTGCAACAAAAATGTTGGAGAAAAATGCATCTCAACAATTGAATGACAAAGAAGACATAGAGTCAGAATTAATGGATGCTATTGAAGATACAGGATGTTGCTTCTGATACCTTTCAAGCCTTGAATAAGTGTCAAATTTCTGGGAGATGAGCTCATGCAAGTTTGAGTCAAACCATTTAGAAATTCTAGTTTCTTGTGTTTTGCAGATGTTGTTGTTTGATGTAGCTTTTGTTGCGTCCCCTAAAGCTTCTAGTGTTTGGCTTTGAGTTTTTTCTTGCTTTTAATTTCTGTGGTTTTGTTGTAATGGCAAGGCTTCACTTGAATTGTAGTTCTTTGTTGTACTGTTTCATATAACGAATTGATGGTTGCTTGATCCATGTGATAATTTTAAGGTTTCGTATGAGAGCTTGAATTACTTGATCCATGTAACAATTTTGTAAACTTGTAATATATAATTTAATGGTTCCTTTTTAAGTTTATTTTCTTTTAGTGCCTACAAAAAAATATATACTTAATTGTTGGAAATCAAGCTATTGTTAATATAATAATACCAGCTGTATGCTTATATCATTAATATATATTTAATATGTATTAGTTAGTGCTTCTCCATCAGATGCTTTGTTGTAGTGCTTTGCTTAGTTGTATAGGTAGTGCCTTCTCATCAGATGCTTCGCTTTCGGCTGCTTTTTATTTCTATATGTTTTCTTTCATGCTGTAGTATCATAATGATGTTGTATCAGCTCTCCTATATAATGGAGCCTTCTCTTCAGGTTTAATACACATTTTTGAATTACAGAGCGTATTAGCTCTTTCAATCACTCTCTCAATATTTCTTTCATTAATATATAAAAGGGTATCTAAGTGATAATAGGATATGATATTAGGTTAGACAATTGATCATTATAGTGAAAATGATATGATTGATGAAATTATTTGGTGAGAAGGACAATTATTGTTTTGAAGGATTACGGCACCAAAAAAAGGTTTTTACGGCGCCAAATGCACGCCATGGATACGATTCTACGACGCACAAGGTACGTCATAACTAGTCATGGAAAGTCATTCACTTTTAACGGCATGCCATAGCATGCCATTAAAACTTTTAACAGCACATCCTATACGTCATGTTTAATTTTTCCAAAAATTGTCTGTGCATTACAAATCATCCAAAAACTATGTTTCTAAACATCAAAAATTGTTCTCAACTTCAAAACCATCCAAAAAGTTCTAAAGATATTAGAAAATTCATAGTAGCTTGGATTCCGTCTTCAAAAGCTTCCCTTCTTAGAGCAACCAAACTTGAAACAACATCAGTAGAAAGAGCATATATTAGATCATAAGCATGGATAAACTACTCCCTCCCAAGAAAATAAGATAGTGGCTCATACCTGCATGAATTAAACTGATTTGATTACTTCATAATAACCATTATAAAGTTAGCACTTAGCACTAATTTTTGCCTAGGATAGCTCTAATTCCAACTTCTATAAAATACTCCCTCCCAAGAGAGATTACGAGACTGCCACTGAAAACTAACAGTTATGGTTTTGAACAAATTTATTTAATGAGATGGAACGTGCCCAATAGGTGTTCAAGTTTTCTACACTTCCAAATCTAAAAAGATTCAATACATCTAAGAGAACTGTATGATAAAATAAGGCATGTTCTATTTCATACCATATGGAATAGGAGAACGTATTGTAGAGGTGGTAATCACTTACATTTGCTTCAGCAGCAGGATTGACATTCCCCAATGCAAAGAAAGATCCACCAAGAATAACTACTCTCTTGACCTTGCTTGCAAAGGATGAGTCCCTTTTCATTGCCTGATCAAACAAACGCATGCTTCTTGAGTGTAAAGGTTACACACCCGAAAAATTTGAAGATGTCATTATTTGTGAGAGTGAACAAAAAGGAAAGATATTAAGGCCAAGTTTGGCATGATTGAAAAAAGACAAAAAGTCAAAAAGTCACTATCCTATTTAAGTCACATCATCTTATTTAAGTCACATCGCCTCTCTAACACATCATTTCAAACCCAACCCAAACCCAACCCATATTTTATAAAAGGTCAAAAAGTGCACTTATTTAGTCTTCCCAAACTAGGCCTAAAACTTACTAAAGCAAAATTTGTCAATGGTCCCAGCACAAGTATGGATACTTCACCAGGATATTTAGAAACCATATCCACCAAAAATTCCGATGCCTTCTTCTCAATTTTCTTGGATTTTGGAGGAGGTAAGGAAATGTTCCCTAATCCATCAGAACCATGAACGAAGTCTGCAACACGTGGTCTTCCACCCTAGTAAAGCACAACACAATTTTGAATCTCCACCTAACTAATGCATTGAAATGTGGGTAGCCCACTATTACCTCCTAACTATACCAATTATAGTTGCATCAAACAACACTGCAGTGCATCCTTTACTGTTCAAAATCAACAAACAATTGCAGAAGTGGAGAATACCAGACGTAAGGTAACCTAAAAAAAAATAGGCCAGATGTAGTATGTGTAATGATAATCACCAATCCATACTGTACCTGGCCTGCCCTTATCGGGCCATCACTGTCTGATGTTAACTATTCCGTTTGAAGTATGCCTAATGTGTAGATTAGATGTTTGAAGAGAACAGCTAGTGTGGAATAAGCCAATGCATGCATCTGTTCAGATAGTAGCAGGTATAATGCACTTGTGGCAACAAGCCTTTCTCAACTCCTAGAATCCAGAGTAGCAATCTGTCTTCGCAGTATTCTCTTTACTCCAAAAACACTAAGTGTGACACTAAAAATATTGGTTTGAAGAAGGAAGTGGTTTTCCCAATTCCAACCCCAATGGTTAGCTCAACAGGTAAGGCTTTGGGAGACACCCAAGGCCTAAGGTCCCCTATTCAAGTCTTGGGGCCACCTACAATAGGGCATAAGCCCTATGACTTAACTGAAGTGCATGGTCCGTGGAGATTATGGTGACAGAGGGAGGTTTACGGTAGATTAGAGGTTCCATCAAAGTTTGCTAAACCATGGGTTCCTCCCCATCCAAAATAAATAAATAAATAAATTTTCCAATGCCCATTCTAAAGTTGCTTTCTCAACCAACTCGCTATCTCAAACAAAAACTCAACATAGTTACAAGTTAGAGCCTCATCTTTCATACGAAGGTTCAAATGCCTAAGAAAAGGGAGCTTGTGATAGGTACACAATTAATGTACCCTTGAGTAAAACCTTCGTAATCTCAAAGGTCAAGAAAGTGATTGTAGATTTAGTAGAATGGTGTTAAAGGATTCATTAAACTAATCCCTAATAGTTTATAGTCTTCATTCAGTTGAATCTGAGTTGTGTAAAAATCTAAAACACATATGATGGCACAATTAAATGTAAAGAATTGAAATGATAATTCATGTTGGTCACCTACCCATCAGAATCCTTCTTTCTCTTGGAGGGAAGCACCTATCACGCTTTCACCAAGATTAGCAATCTAGGAAGCTACAACACAAATCACAGCCTCGGGTCCATTTATCTGTTTTCCAATTATTTTTTCAAGAGAAGGAAAAATACAGATTTGGTCAGATATCTTATGAAGATATAAACATAAAAGTGCCGGTTGAAAGATTCTAATAACACAAAGCTTAAAAAAAACAGACAAGCAGAATGAAAGTTCCGACCATCTTAATGCTGTTTTAAGTTTTGTTCATAAAGGAGACAAGCAAAGTGAAAAAAGAGAAAAAGATTGAAAGAATGTGGAGGGAATGAGAGTCGAATATTTAGAATTGTAAAAACAAAGAGAATTTATTATACCTCACCCATCAGATAACCAACGAAAGAAAGGAGAATTGATGCTAAAAGTCCAGCAACGGTTCCCTCAACACTAACAGCTCCTTCGGTTCCCCTTGGAACTATCTTAAATGTCGTGACTCGTGACTAGATACCTGCATTAAAAGCAGCAATTTTAAAGCATGCACACCATATATATTTATTTAATTGAACATTTTGTAGGAGGTCATTAATGCTCGGATACCGTGACGGAATTGACAAAGAAAACTTGAAAGGTTTGTAAAATAATTTTTTTTTTTTTTTTTTTATAATTATTATTTTTATTTTTATAAGATATAAAATTTGCATAAAAAAATAATTTTTTTTTTTTTTTTTGGGTTTGTCTTTGTTTAATAGACAAAATAAAAAATAAAAAATGATGAAAGCAATAATTATTGCATATTCAAAATTTTTTGGTAAAACAAGAGAAAAAGTTGTTTATTTAGCAAATATTTTTTTGACATCCAAACGAAAAATATAACCCAAAACCCAAAAAATATCCTCAATTTTGTGTTTTCAATAACGAAACGAAATAACTCACACCCTTGTTGTATGAGAAAAAAATAAAATTATTACAAGACAAGTTTTTTGAAAAATAATAAGGACCAAGACAAGAAATGAAGCTTGTTGTATGTAGAAAAAAATGATATTTGTTTGTGAAACATTTATATGAACCACAAGTGCAGATGTTGTATTACAAAATAAGTTGGTGGAAATTGGTTTTTGTTGTGCAAAAAAAAATAACCAATTTCTAGTCGACAAATTTGTTTGAACAAAAAAAAAAATCAAACAAAACAAAAACATCAAAAACAGGTTAAAATGCATAATGAAATAAATAAAACGTGCATAGAACAAGAAACCAATCATTATGCATTTTGAGGACAACAACATATCAGAAAAACAAAAAAACAAAAAAAGAAAACTAGAAATGAACAACTCCTTAATGCTGCAAATACCATCCGGAGGAGGAAAAAAAAGGAAGAAAAAAAAAACTGAAATCCTCCAATAGATTGTTCACATTCTTTCAATCCTTATACACAAAAGCAATGGGATGAACAACCCATTCAAAACCACCCATTCGAGCTTGGTATATGAGTGGGGCCTAATGGGCCACCAAGCTGGCTTCTTTTCTTTTTAACCAATGAATCACCTGCTCGTCCATCGAAATCTTTAATAATATACATTGGCTTACTAGGTTGTCCATCAAAGATATAACAAAATTAGTAAGCGGGGTCAGATGTCTCTATGTCCTCAAGCGTATACAACCTATCAATCATGTACTGATAAGAGTTAGCATAATCATGATGAACACATATGTCTTGTGTTTTCATAGACATGCACAGATTTCCCATGCTACTTGCCAATAGCGAAGCACCCTCAGATTACCCTTTCTTATGTTGCATGGCGGTTTTCCCGGTGTATTTCCATTTACTGCCACCAGTTGATACGTCTTCCACCAGAATTGTTGATGACTCTTCGTGCACACAAGGGTCGACTATATGATGGACAAGCTCCGAAAGGGACAAGTCATCAGTTGTGTCATGGACAGCCTCAAAAGGGGGCAACCCATTGTTGTCCTCAAAGTCATTTTCTGCTGTCGAAGTCTCCTCATCCACTTGAAATGGGTTCAAAGCTTGACTAGGTGTCCATGCATTCTTCCCTGCTATTGTTGCACCTTCGTATACCTGCCGTATTAACTCCAAGTGCTCCAATGATTTGGTTCGGAACTTGACAACATTCTTGTCAATCTGCAACACAAGGAAAAAATAGAACAAAAAAATTTTGAAACTAGACAGCAACACAAATGACTTTTAGGGTGGTAAAAAAAGTAACCAACTGAAATAAATAGCAACTAAAATAACCAAATAACCAACAAAAAAAATAATGAAATAAAATTATTGCAACACAAATCAATTTGGATAAAGCATAAACTAATCAAATGAAATAAGCAACAAAACTGAGGATTTTTATACATTATTGCAAGAATCCATTAAACCATACAGAACCCATTACAAAAAAAGAAAAAAAAGAAAAGAATAAGAAATAACCAAATCAATGTATGGCTAATAACCCTTCTCAATTTTGGACAACATAATTAAAAAAATCAATCAGGGTGGTCAGTAAACAATGCCCATTCAATCATACAGTAAAAACAAGCAGATAGTGATTACAACAATGAACATATGAATATCGGATTGGGGAAAAAATACTACAACATACCTTCTCCATTTTTTCCCACCATTCGAATGACGCTTGTATCAACCTACTCGATTCATCATAACTTATACATGTCGGTCCGTGTCTTGTGTCTATAAGTCTTGCCCATGACTGCCAATCCTTTTTTAGTAAATTATACTTGTTCTGCATTTGTTTCACGTCATGTACCTTCCCGGTAATGATTTCAAAGTTCTTGCATAGTGCTTTTTGACCACGAGTTCTAAGAAAATGCGGGTATTTTTGGAGTCCCATACTGCTTTGTGGACATTTATCAACTGTGTTTAGGTCTGGGACTGACTGTTACCCTGGGTGAGGGACTGACTCGTAGCCCGCTTCCACAAATTTTTGGAAGGGGTGGTTAGCATTTGCGATAGATCCATATGGCTAATATGGTGCGGGAAAACAAAAGTTGTTCGTACATGTGTTATAATTAACATAATTGCATAAGTGAAAAAATAGCACAAGCAATAACAATGTAACAAACAAAAAGCTAGAAGAAGTTGCCGTAATAATTGGAAAACCATAAGTTTAATAAGCAGTGCATAATTTACATAGACAAGGTAGCATTTCTAAAGGGAAATTAGGTACACAATAGCAAAATAACAACAAACAAGTTTAACACGAAGGTCACACATTGAAGGACACGCAAGGAGTGTTAAAAGTTGATGAAGTCACCATTTAACTGGAATATAATGTCCGTAAAGTGTGAAAGTCAAGGATGTGCATTTGGCCATATTCGTCACACAAGCCAATCTAACTACAACATGGTCGAAGTAGACAAAGGCATTAGTAATGTTTAAAAAGAATATGTAATTTGTGAAACTTGTGATGACTCACTATTGCACGAGCACATTGGTAGTAGGCACAACCTGGATTTCTCAAAGATCTTGAAATTCTCACAAGACAATAGCCAAAACCACAAACACACAAGGTCCTGGCTGCGTAGACGTGGTAGATGACATAAAGGAAGGCATGGTCTGTTTTAGGAGAACCACAAATGAAAAAAAAGTAATGGCTAGAAAAAAAAAAATTTGAAAAATGTGTTCAAATGTATGGTAGGCAATTTGTTAGAAGGGAAAAAAGAGTGTACATTTCCTTGTTTCTGAAGAGAGGCAAAAACCTAGGGGTGTAAATTTGGCCCGGTCCATGTTGGGCCTCGAAGCTCCTGCCAAAATTCAGATTCGGTCCGATTGGGTCACGGGCCAAAAAAATTAGGCCCATGCCCAGGGGTATTCGAGCCTTAAGTGGGCCGGTGGGCCTGGCATCGGACTTGGGTGGGCTTAACTATTTTTTTTACCAAAATTTTATTATTTTCCACTTAAAAAGACACTGGGCCTTAGGGCGGGCCCGGCCTTGAATGGGCCTTAAGCGAGCCGACGGGTTGGGCCACGAGCTGAACTAGGCTTCAAAATGATGGCCCAGGCCCAGGCCCAAGCTCGGGGACTCGGGCTCGGGCTGGGCTCAGGCCCAGGCCCAAATGGGCCTAAACAGGTCCGGCCCACCCCAGGCCACGAGCGGGCTTCGGGCCGCCCACGAGCCGTGGGTCATTTTTGCACTCCTACAAAAACCAATGTACATTGCCTTGTTTCTAAACAAACACAAATGATAATTTACATTTTCATCAAAGAAGATGGTTTGAAAAAACGAAAAAGGAAAACCCTCCGTGGTCGTCCAATGTTCAAAAAACTAGGAAATCCCTCATATATCTTAAGGATAGACATAAAATGTTTGGATGCAAAACAGTGGAAAGGAAAATGAATTACAAAAATCTTCCCTAAAATCCTTCAGAAAAAAAAAAACTTTGAGTGGTCGTCCAATGTCCCAAATTTCATTTCCGAGTTAGAACAAAAATAAAATATTGCATTAAAAATAACCATTTTCCGCAACCGAAGAGCATTTAAAAAAAATTTCAAGGATATTAATTTTTCACTCAAATACCTCCGAGAACATGGTTGAAAGTACCAAAAGAAGGCCAACACAATAAATAAATAAATAAATAAATAAATAAATTGAAAATATGGTTCATCAGTTCATCGTGAAAATATTTTTGGTTGTTATCTGGGTTTTTTTTACCCTACACAGTGAGACTATAGGTTTATGGATGAATAAGAGAAAGAGCCCCGATTTAGGGGCTTTGATTTGAAAACCAAAATGTGAAGGAGTGTGTTTCGAAAACCAAAAAAATCATGTGTGCTCCAAATCACCCATTTTTAAAGAGCGTAACTGGAATTAAGGGTTAGAGTTGTTACCTTTGTCGAAAGTGGGAAGAAGAGATAGAGAGATGAAGATTTGAATGATCCTTTTGCTTATGCTGCAAGTTTCGGTAGGAGAAGTACAGCTAGGAGCCGATCTGCTATTCGGAGGAGTTCCTGTCGGCGACGATATGTGTTGTACAAAGTCGGCTTCCATCGTCCTGTCGCCGGTGTGAAAGCTTCCATCGTCCTCTCACCAGTGTGAAAGCTCACAGATTAGGAAAGTGTCTCAGACAGGTGTTGTGCAAGTTTGGAATCTCAATGTATACATACATTTATTGAAACATGTGTCCAAAACGGGCCAAATAGGGGTATTTCCATAATTTCTACAACTAGGGCTTCTTAAGTACACTACCAAAAAATATGATATATTTTTTTGCTTTTTTAGTAATTTTTTTTGACTTTTTGGCTAAAATGTGATGTGAAAAAAACTAATATGTTTGGGATGACTTTTTGACTTTTTACGAAAAGATGTACATAAAGTAAAGAGAAAAGAGAATTTTTGACTTTTTGGTATAAGTTGCTGATTTTTTGATTTTTTTAGTAACTTTTTGACTTTTAGACTAAAAAGTGATATTGCCAAATGAGACCTAAGATTTGCTTCTGGTGCAGTAGTGATGTGTAAATGCATATATATTATATATATTTATTTGTTATTTTAGTTTGACTAAGTTGACGAAGGCTGTTCATGTTTCTATGGAAGATATTTATTGGGGGCTTTTTCCAAAATAAGTCAAAATACT